GCGGGGGGGCGGGCCGGGCGCGACGCGCCCCGCCTGCCCGCCAGGCCAGGCGCGGGGTGGGGGTGGGAGGGCGTGCCAGGACCCTGGGGACTTCGCCTGAGGCCTAGGCGCCACAGGGGGCATGGCCTGGCTGGAGGCAGGCGAGTGGTAGCTCAGGGCAGAGAACGGGAGGAGAGGCCCAGGGCTGGGACGATTTCATACCCGGGACATTTGCGCATCCTTCTCTGCACCTCACCCCCACGGCAGAGGAGCCCCTGACAGGGCAAATTCTGGTTCCTCTTAGGGCTGGCCGTGTAATTACCATGGACACCCCTGCCCCTCAAGGGCCAGGCCTCAGAGACCCATGACTGTGGCCTTGGGCGTCACCACCCACCTCCTGCTCCCTGCACTCTTCCATTTTTTTTTTTTTAAGTAAATGTAATATCCTGTGCTAGCAGGCTGAAAAAAGCACGTCAGGAAACCACTTTTAAAAGCTCTTCCATTTCTTCAAGGCAAGTGAGGGCAGGAGTCAGTGGATGGCGCCGCCATGTTGCATTGGCGCCTGCAGCCGCTAGGCCTCTACCCTGGCTTGTCTTTTTTGACTCTGACTTTTATGAAATGTTTGGGTTATCTCATGCCCCCCCCCCGCCTTTCTCACAGGGCACCTTCTCTCTGATCATTGAGGCCCTGCACACGGACTCCCCTGAAGACCTTGCCACAGGTAACCGCTGCCTGCAGGCAGGTGCTTGACACCTCGGGGTCACGCAGACCCACTGACTTCTCCAGTTCTGCATGTGCCCCAGAAGGCTTTAGGTAGGGGGTCCTGGCTCCCTCCCGAGAGCCCAGGCTTTCAGTTGGGGTCAGCCAGGACCATCCTGTCCTCCCACAGAAAACCCGGAGAGGCTCATCAGCCGTCTGGCCACGCAGAGGCACCTGTCTGTGGGCGAGGAGTGGTCCCAGGACCTGCACAGCAGCGGCCGCACTGACCTCAAGTACTCCTACCGCTTCGTGTGTGATGAGCACTACTATGGGGAGGGCTGCTCCGTGTTCTGCCGGCCCCGCGATGACGCCTTCGGCCACTTCACCTGCGGGGAGCGAGGCGAGAAGGTCTGCGACCCCGGCTGGAAGGGCCAGTACTGCACAGAACGTGAGTCCTGGGGTTGAGAGATTCAGCCTAAGAGGGAAACTGTGGCACTGGGCAGACGTGACCTGCTCGGCAGCCCAGCTGACCAGTGCCCAGTCTGTCAGCTTCCAGAACGGGTTTGCCTGCCATAGGAAACTGCCTTCTTAATCAGGGAGATTTCAGAGGCAGGGCCAGGGGTCAGGAAGTGAGGCCCGCTACCCAGGGCATGTGTGAGGCAGGGCGGGGAGGAAGGAAGGGTGGGACGGTGTGTCGGCCTGACGGTGTCTTCGGGAAGTGCGCGGCCTGCTCCATACACCAGGCGTGTTTCCAAGTGTCCTATGTGCCAGACTGGCCGTGTGGGTGAGCGCAGCGCCCGGTTGACTTGGAAGGCCTGCTAGCACCCCCTGCCTGCCTGACACCCGTGTGTTCTAAAAGCCTCTCAGGTGAGGCTGGGGAGGCATGGGGACCCCAGCTCCTGGTTCTAGCTAATCTGGACCTCAGCGGGCCAGTCTCGAGCTTCCTGCGGTCTCCTGTGCACCCGCAGCCCCACCTGTGGGTGATGCTGTCCCCGCAACGGGGTCGGGTGTGCCTGGAGCCTCCCCAAAGCCTGGAGAACTTTCAGCCTCCTGCCCCATGGCCGGGGTGGGGCACAAGCCTACTTCACTCTGCCGGGGCTGGAGGGTCTCCGCAGCCACCGTGGCTGGGCCCTGGAGCTCCCAGGGCCACACGGAACCCTGTCCGCTCTGCAGTGGACTGCGCTGGTGTCTGAAACACGTGGGGTGCTCTCGCTAGTGGGTCTCAATCCCAGGCCAAGGGAGCCCACCGCCAACACACTTCAGGCGTCTCTGGCCTCCTCTCTTCCTGCTTCCCACCCTGACTTTCCTCTCGTTGCCAGGGGGTCGCCCGAAACTTAGTTTTCGTAGTCAAACACTCAGACTGTCCCCGCCCCACTCGCACACGCGTGCCGTAGATTAGCTCTCTCCCAGGGTAGGCAGCAGGGCGCTTGCCTGCTCCCATTGGCGGAAGGGCGTGTGTGTGTGTGTGTGTGTGTGTGTGTGT